TCTCAGGGAACAAAACCATGCATATTTTTGCACTCTTTCGTGGAATGGTTATAATCGTCGAAATACCCTTTATTATTATTAGTATTAGTATTAATAGTAATACCGTTTGTACGAGTCCTGCAATAGGTTAGTTTTTAATCAACCGCTTCCCTACTTGCCATTATAGTTTACTGCCGCATTCATAAAGCGCTTATCTATATTAACAATAGTATTACCTACTCTGGGGTTTAATACTGCCGGATTATCATTGTATATCAACCTTTCATTATTCGGTCCTCTGTGGTTATTTATTCTAGAATGCCTTTACATTAGTTCTGATAATTTGCTATTTCTGTTGTAGTTTTGGGTAAATTAGAGTGGAAAAATTAGCGTGAAGTGCTATGACTCCTGTAATAATAATAATTATAATAATAATAATAATAATAATAGCTTTTGCGAGTGCTAGTGACTTATAATGCTCGAAACACTGCAAAGTCTCCTTAAGACTTGAAAATTAAAAGAAATATTGTACTGCAATAAAAGATCCCCAAAAGTGACAATATTTAATAATGTGTCTAAAGAAATTCGATTCCAGTTAGATTTTCAGGGCAGACGTAAGGAAAATTCCACTAAAGTGCCAGATTTCAGAAGGGCAAACTTTGACAGTTTAAAGAGGCAGCTGAGAGAGGGGGTGTCGCTCTTGGCCGTGAACCTGACAGATGACTCAGACCTGATAACGACATCTGCGACTGTCGAGTTTCACGTCAATTTAAATAATGAGTTACTTAATGCACAGAGGCAGAACATACCATACAAAAAACTCAGATCAGACAACAATGACCCTAAATGGATAAATAATTATTTAAAGAACATCATTGGCCAAAGGAAGGCTATAGGTAGAAGGATAAAGCGTGGCGTACCTCCAGGATTATTATAAGATATTGGCGAGTAGGGTTAAAACCGAGATAAAAGCCAAGAGGAATAATGAGGTAAGGATAGCAAGGGAGGAGAAGACAAACCCCAAAGGATTCTACCAAATGTATCAAGCTAAAACACGAGAAAAGATTGGACCAATACGGTCAGATACCGGCGAGCTCACTGATAACGACGGAGAAATGAGCAATAATTTTAATAAATATTTTTCAACAGTTTTCACCACCGAAAATTTAAACATGATACCCGAGGCACCGACTCTATTCAGAGATAGTGAAGAAAACAAATTAAGCGAGATAGTAGTGACTAGTAACGATGTTAGTAAGCAAATAGACAAACTAAAGCCTAATAAGTCACCTGGTCCCCGATGAGATATTTGCCAGAGTATTAAGGAATGTAAGGAAGAGCTTAGTATGCCCTTAGCAAAGTTGTTTAACATGTCCTTAAAACAGGTGTAGTACCAGAATCCTGGAGGATAGCTAATGTAATACCGATTTTCAAGAAGGGGATAGATCACTATCCTCTAACTACCGCCCAATCAGTCTAACATCAATAGTAGGCAAATTACTGGAAGCAATCATTTCAAACTCTATTCGAAACCACCTGGAGAAGCACCGATTGATCAATGATTCCCAGCATGGCTTCACAAGCGGACGTTCTGTCTAACTAATCTATTAACATTCTTTTCATCAGTTTTCGAATCGGTGGACGAGGGGCACAATTATGATGTGGTATATCTCGACTTTAGCAAAGCTCGACAGAGTCCCACGAAAGACTCATTAGAAAGGTAGAAGCTCATGGCATCAAAGGTAACATCCTTAAATGGATTAGGCGTGGTTACAGGACAGGAAACAGCTAGTGAGCATTAACGGCACTAAGTCCCATTGGAGCAACGTCACAAGTGGAGTTCCCCAAGGCTCAGTACTTGGACCATTATTATTTATTATATACATAAACGACATAGATATCGGCATTGACAGCAACATAAGTAAATTTGCTGATGACACTAAAATAGGACGTGTTATTAAATCTGACGAGGACTCCAGCAAAACTACAGGAAGATCTAAACAAATTTTCGAATGGTCTGAAAAATGGCAGATGAAATTCAACGTGGACAAATGTAAAGTACTCAGTATAGGAGATGTAAACAGGGAAACCAGATACCAGATGAACAACGATGCCATAGAGAAATCCGACTGCGAGAGATTTAGGAGTAATGATAAGTAGGAACCTTAAGCCAAGTAAACAATGTGTTTTTGCTCGTAACAAGGCTAATAAAGTACTTGGGTTCATACAAAGGTGTAGTTACAAGACTAGCGAGGTCATCCTAAAACTGTATCTTGCTCTTGTGAGACCACACCTGGATTACGCAGTTCAGTTCTGGTCACCGTATTACAGAATGGATATAGAATCTTGGAAAGAATTCAGAGGAGAATGACAAGACTAATCCCGGGCATTAGGAACCTTGAGTATAGAGACAGGTTAAAGCATCTTAATTTGCACTCCCTCGAGAGACGTAGAGCGAGGGGCGACCTGATAGAGGTGTATAAGTGGAAGTCAGGGCTAAACAAAGGGGACATTACAAAGGTACTCAAACTATCCAACCAGGAGCGAACTCGTAACAATTTAGATTTAGGCGTGAAATAGGTAAACACTGGTTTGGAAACAGAGTAGTGGATGAATGGAACAAGTTACCAAACATCATCATTAACTCGAATACGCTGAATAGCTTCAAACATAGGTTGGATGCTTATATGAACAATAGGGATTGGGTGTAAACGGGACTGCCCAGTATGGGCCAGTAGGCCCGCTGCAGTTTCCTCCATTCTTATGTTCTTATGTTCTTATATTGTTGGACTTTTTATCCCTAGCCAAATTTGTGACTATTCGTATGATTTTTGTTTTCCTTGTAATTTTTCAGGACACCAACGCAGTCCAGCAGTTTCCCTACACGCGTTGAATCATGAATGTCAAATTCTCCAACTATTTGATCAAATTTCCAAGAGCATTGAAGGAAATTGTGAGTTAATCTCTTACATTATCAGAACGTTAAATTAGTTACTTAATTGACATAGTTTTATTCAAGACGAAAGAGGTAGAGGCTTTTAGAAACCCTCATCTTAGATTAGATTTGGTAAGGTTAAGTTAGTTTAGCGTTAGGTCAGGTTAGGTTAGATTAGCATTAGAGTGTTTAATCATCAGGTGGAATAAGAGAGGGTTCCTAATCTTCATGGGATATATAAGTGGTGTAGTGGCGTTGTAACAAATTAAAGGCTCTGTAATTAAAAAAGGGACATCTTGATCTGCCTAACCGCTCATTGTAATCTCAACCTCACAGCATTGTCCAAGCTCTAAAGTCCTTCGAGCTTGTAGATAAAGTCATCAGTGTTTTATCACCCACCAGCGGCGCCTACATCAGTGAAGATAAAAAAACACCTGTTGTCACCCTGCATGCATCATCATTCTCTGCCTCCGTTCTCAATAACATTCGTACCATAATTTTATCCACAACTGAGGAAATTAAAAAACGCCTATAGTTATGTTAGTTTTAACCTAATTTTGTCATTTTAGCAAACTATCTTAGTGCTATGAATCAGAAGAACATATTGGTCCTGTCTACATCAGTCGTACTAATGTGAGAAAAATCGTAATGGTGACGGGAAAATGTCATTTCCTCCTGCGATTTAAACTACGAGAATAATACATCTTCTCATTTAGATATCTAACAATTCATGTGTTTATATTTTTTTTTTCTGTATTTTCTCTGTTGATAATGAAGAGTTATTAAGGGAAATATTCATGAGGTTCTGGTATTTGCTGGCAATATTCATTAAGTATACAATAGAATGATTCAAGTTGAGCAGTAAGGAATTGAAAAACCTCTATGTGATTCTTAAGAGACACATCAGCACGAATATATTAGCTACAGAATAAGTAAATATATAGAAATAAGCTACAAAGAATAAAAAAATAATTTTCCGGTTAAGGCATAGTTGCAGTTATATTTTCCCAATGCATCGTCAAGGCAAAGTATAGTATCACTGCACACATAATAATAATAATAATAATAATGTATAAAAATAATAATAATAATAATATCATCATCAACGAAAATAATAAAAATAGTTAATACTAGTGGCAGTAAAACAAATTTTAGGCACAGTCACTATTGTACCCAAGTTTCAATAACCAAGAACAACGACTAGATCCTGTATAGGCCACTGGCTTGGCTACCTCTAGTTTGGATGGCCAAATGATAAATAAAGTAGAGGTAATTAGGTAACATGGTATAAATAACTGCACATGTGGCTGCGATATGATTAAAACTGTAGGGAATTTGTTAAGGTATAATTTGTTGTACACAGTTGTTGAACCATACACTATATTATCTTAGTTAAGCCTTATGTTTACCATTCCTGCACTTTATAGCCAAGCTATAGGCATACAGAAAACAATCCCACGGCCTACATTGTTTATATTTATGGTGATTGTTGACCTGTTTAACTGCATAGTTTATGTACATGCCTATCAAATTGTAAACCTGTACGGATGTAGTGAATATTACACATATCTTAAGGACTTCTATATTATGTAACTGTTTTTGTGTTGTTGTATTTTCTTTACTATGTAATTTTAAATTAGGCTTGTGGGATTTTTCCCAAGTCAACACATGACGCAATGGTTATTCACATCTTTTCTCATGGCAAATTATTGAGTTATTATTATTTCAAATAGCACTGGACGAACATTAAGCCATATAGTATAACTTATTTGCATTCTTCCAGACAATATTAATAAGATACATATGATAAACATATATATAAAAGTGTACCACACATCTGCCAACATGGCGAAACTCGTTCAGGTAAGGTATCAGTTACTATTTTATCTAGATTTTTTTTGCAGAAAATATGGATATTTATTTTACAAAAACTTAAAAAAATTGCATTGAAAAAATATATGGATTAGGATTGTTAGAACTTTATGGGATATGATAAGCAGTTATAAAGCAATTAGGGATAAGATATTATGTATTACAAAGTATTATGAAAAGCGCGGGCAGGGGAGGAGCCATCTAGCGGCAGACATATAAACTAGAGGCCCGTGACGTCAGCCACCTTCCGCCACCAGTTGGTCCTTTTCGGCGTTCACACCAAACGCCTCCACTGTGTTGTTTACTGTGTGAACTTTACCAACAAACATCCAAGATGGTAAGGCTTCCTGACTCTTTTAGATATCATCATAGCATTCGTTATTCATTTGGGGACGTATTGGTGTTATTATTTTGTTGGTTTGATGGGAGATACTTGTCGATATAATGTTAAATGTGAACATGTCTTTGTGGGCCAATGCGACTGTCAGTGACCAGCGCCCCTAAGGCCGGTGTTGGGAAAGCCTTGACTAAGAGAGGTTATATGTTGGGTATTTTAAACGAAATTGAGCAAACTGGTGAATGTATGGCGCTTTATATGGATTATATAGTAAAATTTTCCTCCGATTTTAATGGGTTTTAACCACCCCCATCTGGTATGTTCTGGATCTGGCCGAGTTTTTGTCAGAGGCCAAAACCACATGACACGGATCTTTTGGGATATTATTTGCTTAAGGCAGGTGTATAAATTTAATACCATGAAATATTTAGAAGATAACTTTGCATTTTATTATCTCTGACTATATACCTGTATATATAAGGACCGAGAGAGCTAGGGAAAGTCTTGCACAATAGTTACGTGTTAAAATTTGAGTCGCATGTGAAGCCTGGATTAACTATACTCGACCTACAAACAATGATGGTACTTAACATGTTAATTACTGACGTCTGCATATGAAATGGCGGAATTAGTATTATTTTATAACACCGTATAGAGTACGGAGTGAATGATTATTTAAAAATTAGTATTTTATATTTGCTATAAGTCTTGTATTGTGTTAGACGACTGAGATATGGGGCAAGTGCAGAACCGTAGTTAGGGAAGTGTAGTTGTGTGGGAGGGGGAGAATATTGATCACTGGTGCTCTTGTGAAGGAGTGGAACGACCTACATATCTGGGAAGTGTTCAGAGTCTGCAAATAGGCACTTGACACCAATTTAATGAGGATTACAAATTTAACAAGGATCATGGAGTATTTGTATAGAAAGTGATGGATTTCTCTCTTCTCTGGGATGACTAGTATTGGTTTTCAGTGGGGTGAATTTTTTTTAAGCAGTTATTTAAGGAGCCAGTTATCAGGTCACAAGGTTAGGAAGAGCCACACTACAGCTGTTATTGGGTTATCTCGGTTATTCTTAGATATTTTGGGGGATGTAAAGGTTTTACAATTATCCACCGGCTGTAGAACCTTTCTCTGACCCATCCCTCTCCCCCCCCCTTAAACATTACTTATTAGTGTGTAAACTGTACTGTTATTTTTTCATATCTGGTGTTAGGGCCAAAGGAGGAATGTTTCTTTTGTTCCATGAATTTTTCGTATTTTAGTATATTTCTTTTTTTCTCTTGCCAGTCTCGCTACACCAGTTGTTTTCTTACCTTTCTAACCAACATGCATCTGTAGCACCATATTTTAAAGGCCTCTCTTGGTGTTGGCTGAAAGTGCTCGTCCATCAGACACAATATTAGTTACCATATGGCGGTTTTCAGCAGCTTTTTTCCCTTGGAGTAAATGTTTCCTTTAACATCCCTTAGGGTAGTAAATGCTGTCTTTATCCATTGTTAATTTTGGATCACCAGAATATCCCCCTCCCCCCATTTTGTCCTCCAGCAGATTGACCACCCTGTCATTAACTCAGTCTGACCCCCAGAGGTAGCATTATGGTGGTTAATCTCAAGGTGGAATAAAGTGAGTGGATGACTGGTTGGTCAGTACTGTTAGGTATTGATATTTATGCAATTTGGTGGAGGATATTCGAGTCATGATGTGCTTATTTCCATTAGGGCCTTTAGTTTAAATGCCGTCAGTAACTGGTGTTCCCAGCCAGTCACTCATCCAAGCACAGTACTAACCAAACTCAATGTTGCTCTACTTTGCTGATGGGATGAGAAGCAGTGTTTTCATTGTGGTATGGCATCACCTAAATATCAAGTGTATAATCCCTTTAGTTAATTCCTAAATAGATACCGAACTGTACATGAAAGGTTTCACCTTTGTTCTGTTGCTTACCATTGTTTTTAAATTGGTAACAAAGCTTCCTGACTGAATAGCAATACAGTACATGTAATTGGAGGCCACCTTTACAAAATTTGTTGACCAGTATCATCCATAGACGGAAGGCTGTTTTTGTTTCTGCTTAACCATTATCAAATATTCCATCTTACTCCTCTTAAAACCTGTGAATAAATATTTATGCCTATAAATGTTCGAGATCACATGTAGCACATTATATCCCGGTCTGACCTTCAACCAGCTGTTGTTTACTTGTACTATGGCTTCTTTGTAAGAACATAAGAATGGAGGAAATTGCAGCCAGACTATTGGCCCATACTAGGCAGCCCTGTCTCACGTCTGAATCTAACCTTGTCTAATTTAAAACCATTGTCACGAGTTTACACCTGGCTAGGTAGTTTGACTTCCATTTATACACCTCGATCATGTCACCCCTCACTCCACATCTCTTAAGGGAGTGCAAATTCAGGTGCTTTAATTAATTTGTCTTTACTCAAGGTTCCTAATACCTGGGATTAGCCTCATCCTCCTCTGAATGCTTTTTAGGGTTTTGATATCCAGTCTGTAGTTCGGTGACCAAAATTGAACCGCATTATCCAAGTGAGGTCTCAAACACAAGATATATAGTAGTTTTAGGATAACCTCGCTAGTCTTGTAACGAACACTCGTCTGTCCGAACCCAAGTACTGTGCCTAGTGAGCCTTGTTTTAAGCAAATATGCAATGCTTTGGTTTAAGATTCCTTCTTTTCATTACTCTGTCGGTTAATGAAGACATTTATTTTCTGTACTGTGATTTGCCTAATTTCTGTTAGGTTTGTTTTACTGGTATTATTTTACTTTTGGACATAGCACCCCTGAAAGTTATAAACTACTGAAGCATTAATTCTTGCTATTCTGAGCATTTTGAACCCCATATACAGTATACATGGTGGAAATGGATAATAGCAACAATTGAATTTAATTGATTTTAAGTAGTTTTCAGTCTTTGTCTCTGAGGAGATGTTATCGGCACATCTTGCATGCGCTATATTGACTGACGTCATTAAGTCGTGATCAGTGAGGCATCGATATCTTCACGCGAAATTTTTTTGGACGATTTTTTTTCTCCAAAGGAAGCAGCCTGGGTAATTTCATTGTCCAGTTTCACAATGGCTGTGGTGGAGGTTGGTTTTCGTTTCTGCTCCTACGATGATTTTAAGTTTATTGCCGATTTTTACGAGAAAGACAAGCATTCTATCCAATTCTTACGTATTCCTGGTTCTTCCGCTTCTAACTAAGGTATTGTACTTTTGGACATGGCGCGCCCCAAAGTTTTTGACTACTGAAACATTAGGTTAGTTTAAGCTAGGCATACTGGGGCAGAGCCCCCGGCTAGGTGTCAGGTTAGGCCTACTGGGGGTCCAGGGGTAGAGCCCCTAGCTAGGAGCTAGGTTAGTTTTTGTTAGGTCAGATGACTCGTTTTCTCACCCACACAAAAACCATGATTTCCCAGGCTCTCCTCCATTACTGTGGGGGGGGGGGGTGGGGCTAACAATTTCCGCCCAAAATGAAAGTCGGGTTCTTTTGAAATGCACCAAAATACACTGGAAAAGCATATTGGTCAACCCCTAGGGACTAATGTCCTATAGTAAAAATTTACTGTTTTACTGGATTACGAAAGGTAGAATGACAACATAAATCACTTTACGAATAGACTGCCCAAACCTAACTTAAATCATCTTAACCAGTAACTTCAGTTGGGGAAAAAACAAATCTATGTAAGCCATGGTTTCTTCTTAGGGGTCTTTGATGAATCGGCAGTATCCAAAACTGAACTACTGTATGTCTGGTCTTGGCATGGTTTGAATAGACATTAGTTTGTATAGCTGGGTACCCTTGCTATTTTATCTTAACCTAACCAAATGTTTAGTAAATAAAAGTCTTCTTTAAGGACGTTTGGGGAAAGGTCTGTTAAAACTTTGCCCATAAATCCACACTTATTATTATTGTTAACTGACTACAATTTCTTATATTAAATAGCTGGGGTACCTGGCTGCACAAGTGCTCAAGAAGCATTTAATGTTCTTTCAAATAGAAAGTTATTGTTAGTGCAGTAGTTTGGTACAGTACTGTACATACAAATGTATATCATAATCTGTTAAATGCGAGCTACTAAGGTGCCCTGCAGTTAAATATTTTTTTTATTTTAAGGGCGGGGTGTGCCCATTTTGTCGCCAACCCGTTTCGTCGCCACATTTATACCTGTTTCGACACCTTGTTCATTCCCATCACCATTTTTCAAGGGCAGTACATTCCAGAAAATTCTTACATAATTAATACATCAATATATGCCTGGAAATTTTACTATTTGCCCAAATAACTTGCTTGGGATGGGAAATTGTATTACGAAATTATGCCATCGCATAACAATACATTGGATCATGCAAGCATCTCGAGACAATTCATTAAATACGAAAATAAAAACTTTATTACTTGTGCAAGCATATCCCTTAAACAATTTATTAAAGATTGAAACAAAACAAAAATAAAAACATTGTTAATATGCCTGCAATCATCTCACTTAAACAATATGTGAAAGTCTAAAAAAACAAAAAGTGACCATTGTTTTTACTCATGCAAGCTTGGAAGACACTGGCAAGTTTTTAGGAAATTGGAAGTGGTGATATTTTCTCTTCATATTCATCCCACCGCTTCCAGAGACGGGCTTGTTTGTCATGATTTGCTTTTCTTGTGCACGATTTTAGCTGGTGCTCAGCAACTAGTTATAATTGCAAATCAATCATTGAGGGACAAGGTGTAGAGCGAGATCGTTCTCTGCTGTTCAGTGGTTTATGCTCTGGTTCCAAATCACCTTCATTTGTTCTGTGTTTTGTTTACCAATATTTTCATCATTTTCTTAATTAAATAATATTCATGTATAATAATAATTCATTTGTTCTGTATTTTGTTTATTTACCAATGTTTAATACAGTACAGGAGTACGGTAGTTCTCTTTATTAAATAATTAGTATTCATGTATAATAATAATTCTCGATTCGTCTGTATACATGTAATTTCTATTCGTGTAAAATAACTTACAATTTGTCACTCTAATACCAGCTACTGTTAGTGGTGACAAAACGGATTTGATCTTGGTGACGAAATGGGGTGTATCCTCGAGAACACCTACCTTACTGTAATGTGAAAGCCACTCGAGAACCATGTATTTTTAGTGAATATGGCAGATTTCTATCATCCTTCTTGTGTCTTTAGAGAGAAGATATTGTACTGTAATAGAGTAGTGTGATAAAATATGTAAACTTTCTGGCTACTTAAAATATCACAAAAAATACATGGTGTAGTTGGTTGTTTTAATTAGTTAATACTTTATTTTAATTAGTTTAGTTAATATTTGTCCTCTTTCTTGGCACAAACAGCTTTATAATGGCTTTTTGTGAATGTTAAAAGAGGTATATTATATTCTGGGAAAGCCTTCGGTGCCTTGTCATTTACAAGGTTACCTCCTTATAATTCCCAACAAAATTTTGTAATATAGTTAAGTTAAACTAAGACATTATATTTATGTATATGACTGGTAACTTGGTTCTTTAGTTTGTCTTTGTCTTTGGAGGTATAATTTCTTGTTGTTAATAGCCAAATTTCCATAACTCCTTGCTTGATCAGCCATAATAGAAAAATCTATCTGTACCATCTCAAATAATAAAAGAAACACAACACTAGGGGTTATATTGCTGGAAAGGGGTATTTGATGGATGATGTGATAGTGCTAATGTGTGATTATACAGTAAATAGATACCATTTGTTGTGAATACCGATGTGGACTCGCTTGGTGTGGCTTCCCATCATACGCCTAGTACTGTACACCTGTTTAAAAGTAGCCTCATTACAAGCTCATGCAAAAGGGAGCTATTGCAAATAAAGGGATGTCTAGTGTACAGAATTTCAATGCGAATTGTGCAAAAAAATTTAAGATTTGAGTTTACATATTCTGTATTAGGACATACAGTACAGTATTACATAATGGATAAGGCAGAAGAGCCATCAAGGTGTGCACTTCCTATCGATACTTTCGATTGTTGGTCAATTTCAGTGCTCCGGACACAGCCTCATTGTGTACCAAAAGCTTTAGTCAGCTGTTCTTGTGCAGGTACAGTATCTATGCTGCTCATAAGATGTCCTCAGAAAGATGAAACTACTCCTTTGTTTAAATATAGCAGTCCCTTGAAAAGGTTCTTTCCTGTTCTCAGTTCATTGGACTAGAACTATTTGTCCTTTTTTAAGGATTAGAGGCATTTGAAATTGACAGGTGTGCTTTACATGCCATTTCCAGCTGCAGCTACTGTTTACTCACAAAGAAAGGTAATTTTTATGGTTGTAATGGTGCAAAAAATATGATGGAAAATGCAGCATCAACAATAAAAATGGGGTGCAATGGTAGTCTTCATATTCACCCCTTTTATTTGATTTGTACCCAAAAGTTGAGGCCTTGGTAAAGTTATGAAAAGGCAGTGAGATACATACCACAGTAGAGTATGTTGGTGGAAAAGGTGCAGTGTGGAAGGAAAATGTGTACTATTGTGAAGGAAATGGTGGTGGAAATTAGTGGGTAAGCATTGTAAGAGGTTTTGCATGCCTGGAAATGCGTGTAGAAATAATGATGCATTAGGGAGTTCTTTTGATAATATTTATGGGTGTGGATTAATTATTGGTGGCTTCCTTTTGATTGTGATTACAGCTGTTAAACATTTATTTCATAATTTGTGGGAGATAATTTTGGGAAATGGATTAATCACTTGCTTTTTTTGCCAGGTGAACTTCACAGTGGAAGAGATCCGTGAGTTGATGGACAAAAAGAAGAACATCCGGAATATGTCCGTTATTGCCCATGTGGACCATGGAAAATCTACACTCACTGACTCGCTAGTATCAAAAGCAGGCATTATTGCTTCCTCGCGGGCTGGAGAAACTCGCTTTACAGATACCCGCAAAGATGAGCAGGAGCGGTGTATTACCATTAAGTCAACGTAAGTACTGAGAAAGTGTTTTTACCATATTAATATAAATTATAAAGTGAAGTACATCAAATTTATTGGATGGCAATTATACCGTTAACAGCTGTTCTTAAGTGTTAAGGTCGAGATCAATAAACATGTTTACCTTGATTATTGAGTGCAATAGGTGTGTATTAGTACATTGTACACACCTCAATATTGAATTTTTTAAAACCAATTTTTAACATTCTTGAGAAATCCAGTTAAAATAAAATTATATTAAGGCATTGGCACTTGTATTAATATTATGTGTCATGTGCCGAGAAGTTCTAAAATTGTGTGCCATTAGCTGTACGACATAACACACTTGGACCATGTGTTATGAGGACCTGCAGGAGTAGAAAGCAGTTGAAAGTATAATCTGCTGTTTTATTATTTTGACAGTGTGGTAGAGTATAATGGGAGTGTCTAAGTTTTTTGGGGGGACCGCCTTGTAGGAAATAGCTTATGGAAATTAGAAACTTGGCTTAGCTTATAGAAATACTGAAGGTAAAAATTTTTAGAATTCCTCTAGAAATGTAAAAATAATGGGTATTTTTAGAAAACTATTGTTAACCCAATACAGTATTAAATTTAGAAACTAATAATTTTTAAAATGATAATGATGAGCAACTCGTTCGTATGAGTGATTAGTGAATCACACCGATTCCAGTAACATTCCTGATAAGTTAGACCAGTGGGTTGAGACAAGTGTCCAAAGCTGTGTATAAATAGCATGTGCTCTTTCCTTACAGTGCCATCTCTATGTACTTCAAGCTGTGTGATGAGAATATATCATTGATCACCCATCCTGACCAGAAGGAGAAGGGAGAGAGTGGTTTCCTTATTAACCTTATTGACTCGCCTGGTCACGTCGATTTTTCCTCTGAGGTGACGGCAGCCCTCCGTGTAACTGATGGCGCCCTTGTCGTGGTAGACTGTGTGTCTGGTTAGTACTGAACGTGATTTGAAGCAGTTCCTGAAGTGTTTAAACATGGTTTCTTTTATTCTACAATTACATAAAGAAAAAGTTGCTTTCAAAACTTTGACTTTGTATATGTTTTAGAGTACATTACTGTATTGCATATCTCTAGTGCAGTTTGATGAGACTTAACATAACTAGGTAGGGGTGGTGTGTTCAGTTGATTGGTACAGTATTGTACTGGTCCTCTTTCTTGGAACAATTATGCTTGTAGCTCTGTGATTGACAAAAGAGGAATATTATAGGGAAAGCCTTTGGTGCCTTGTCAGTGACAAGGTGGCTTATTAATTCCTATCAATATTGTTACACGACACCAAGAAGCAATGATACAAAAAATGGCTTTGGATTGATTTGTTTGCTTCATATTTTTTACTTTCTGAAATAATGGACATTTATGGATGTCATTTGCCATCTACTCGGATAAGAATATGCATTGAGTAAAACTGAATCGATATGTGAAGTTAATGTTTTGTTTACTAGTAGTTTGTGGATTGTTTTATAAGTAGATGCTCTATACACCATTCTATTTTCCTTCTCTTGAATGATATATATCCACACTGATCTACACAAGTGTTCAGAACGAAGCTAGGAGTATTCTACAGAAATGGTGTGCGTTACCCAGGACTTAGTTTCAGCTTTCATTATTTAGCTTTGACCATCATTATATAATAACAGTATATAATTTTTCATGGGTAGGTGTCTGTGTGCAGACCGAGACTGTCCTCCGTCAGGCTATTGCCGAGCGTATCAAGCCAGTGTTGTTCATGAACAAGATGGACCGTGCTCTGCTGGAGCTACAGCTGGAGCAAGAAGAACTCTACCAAACTTTCCAGGTAAGTTTAGTGTTAATCACAAACTATTGGATAATGTTCCGGTGTATCTGAATATTTTAGGTGTTGGGTGAAAATTGTCTACAGTTCAACATTGTTATAGTACTTAAAGAATATAGGATTCATCCATTGTTTTGCAGACAGACCTTTCCAAGAATTTGCGTTGTAAAATATATGTTTATAGTGAAATTGCAGACCTGTTTAAATGACTTTCAAGAAAGCTCAGAAGCATTGAATGTAGTTTATTGGACATAAGTAAACTTTTTGTCCCCTGATCTTGCCTCGTGTGTGAGAGAATGTCTTCTGGGCATCAGTTTAGGGACAAAATTTTGTGCATAACTTTTTAGTTTCATATAGGCGAATTATGGACTTTTACCTTCCTAAATTCATGCAGTATAGCAATTTGTTCACTAAAACATTTATTTTTCATTTACAGCGTATTGTAGAGAATGTTAACGTAATCATCGCCACCTACAACGACGATGCTGGACCAATGGGCGAGATGCGTGTTGACCCTAGCAAGGGATCTGTAGGGTTTGGTTCTGGTCTTCATGGTTGGGCTTTCTCTGTCAAGGAGTTCTCTGACATCTATGCCACCATGTTCAAGGTCCCAGCGGCCAAGCTCATGAACAAGTAAGTACCGTTTTGGTATTGTTTCATTGTGAAGGATTATCACTAGATAAGTATTGGTGGCACAGATGGTGTCTTAGTTTTTCCTGTTAATCAAAATGCCATGAAATTTTGTTTTGTAGCCCTTTCAAATTCTGTGTTGGGTGAAGCTTACTCCATATTCATACCCATGGCTGCATTTTTGGACAGATTTGGGTAATTTTTATTCTATTGGTCTTGCGCCCATGGGCAAGAGGTATTCCACTGCTCTTGGGTTATAGGTTGTTGGATAAAATTTTTAACTAGTAATACTGCAGTCACTGGTAGTGAAACTGCATTTCAGCATATGTATTAATTTAACAAGTAGACTGTTGAGGTGAATTCTGTGTATGTACTTTGAGGGAGTTGTGGGTAGTTTTTGACATTCACTTGGGTAAATTAAGTCTTAAGAGACCAGAAGATATTTTATCGAGATTCCAATTTACTCCATCTTGTGGAATTGATCCTATTTAATGGTATTCAAACTCTTCATAGGCTGTGGGGAGAGAACTTCTTCAACAAGAAAACAAAGAAGTGGGCAACAATCAAGAGTCCAGACAATGAGCGTGCCTTCAACACCTATATTCTTGACCCCATCTTCAAACTCTTTGATGCCATCATGAACTTCAAGGTGAATTGGAAATGTTAAAGGATTGCAATAGTTTCTTGTTTCTGAAGTAAATGTATGGCTTGTAGTGAGAGTTCCCATGGCATTTTACGTGGTTAGAACATTCATTAAAAAAATTGTATTTACGTGAATTGAAGACAGGTGTAATATTTTGTTACGGATATCATGAAGTTGGAGTACAGTAAAGTACATTGGATAATTCAGTGCCAAATTTATTGAAAGGTCTTATATTTTTAGTAAACTAAAATGAGTAAACATCAATTTTATTTGTGAATTTTTACTCTTGACAATGTTGCTCCTAACCCTGTGTGATATTTTGTTGGGGTGGTGCAACTGAAGTTTTGGTCAGCTATGGTTGCCAACATTTTTTTTATGCTTTTCGAAGTTCATGGTATTTATTCTGGAATTGATGTTACAGAAAGAAGAGACCCAGAAGCTTTTGGAAACTTTGAAAATTAAGCTGACTAGTGACGACAGGGATAAGGAAGGAAAGCCACTACTTAAGGTAGTAATGCGCACATGGCTTCCAGCTGGTGACACCCTTTTCCATATGATTACCATCCATCTGCCTTCCCCAGTAGTTGCTCAGAAATACCGTGCCGAGATGTTGTACGAGGGACCAAGTGACGATGTGTGCTGCACCGGTATCAGGAACTGTGACGCCGAGGCCCCACTCATGATGTACATTTCCAAGATGGTGCCTACCTCGGACAAGGGCCGCTTCTATGCCTTCGGACGTGTGTTCTCCGGAAAGGTTGGCAGCGGTCAGAAAGTGCGCATCATGGGTCCCAACTTTGTTCCAGGCAAGAAGGAAGATCTTTTTGAGAAGTCTATCCAGAGGTCAATCCTTATGATGGGTCGCTTTGTGGAGGCCATTGAAGATGTCCCTGCAGGAAACATCTGTGGTCTGGTTGGTGTTGATCAGTACCTGGTCAAGACTGGTACCATCACAACCAGTAAGGACGCCCACAACATGAAGGTGATGAAGTTCAGTGTGTCGCCTGTTGTGCGTGTTGCTGTTGAGCCCAAGAACCCCTCTGACCTGCCCAAGCTTGTCGAAGGTCTTAAACGGTTGGTAGCAATATCTTAAATTTAGTCTAATATTGGTTAAATCTATTAAGGGTATCATTTCTTGTAAATTTATATATTGACTTTGTTTTTAGTACAAGAAACAGCATGTGCAACTGTGATATTTTCCCGTATCTTTTATATCTTCCCGTTGCCACTGGACAGGAGGTGTTCCTGTCTGGTTTTCCTTGGGAAGAAGAAAAAATTTTAACTTTGTCTGACTCTTTTTGCTTCTCTTATGAGCTGTTACGAGTTTTGCCAATGTTATACAATATTAAGAAGTTTTTATTTTGTAGCATATTGACCTAGAGTACTTTGGAATGCTTTTTTATTTTAAATTTATTCTATTCCCAGTCTCTCCAAGTCTGATCCCATGGTTCAGTGTATCATTGAGGAGTCTGGTGAACACATTATTGCCGGAGCTGGTGAACTCCATCTTGAAATTTGTCTAAAGGTAAGAGTCATAATACATTAAGATATGTTTAAACTTTACAATGCTGGTTTATACCCCCACAACCTTTCCCCAATCTGTTCATTTTCAGTAACTTGAGATTTTAAAGAGTGTAATTTCCATATCACACAAAAGAATCCCCACCCATTTGCTATGCTGTAGTGTGTCTGGGACTTTTATATACTTATACTGGTGTGACATAACCACCACACTCGGGTGCACGTTTGTTTACGTACCTGTTATATTCTCAGCCATACCGTATCATACACATGGTTTTAGCACTTTTTTTTACCCTATCCTTAATTATCTTGGGTCTTCCTTTTAGGATGAAAATATGTTAAGATGTCCTTGGTTTACTCTTTTTATAGGATGTCAAACCAGTGCCAGTATTAGTTGACAAAATGTAAATGCTGGCTAGGAAAGTAACTGTCTATTTGTGATTTAGGAAATTGAGGATTATCAAGGACTGACTTCTGGTATTGAAACTTAGTGTCAGGAAACATCTTATTTCTGCTAGTACAGTGCTTGTGGTAGTTCGTTATCAATGATCCAGTCGTCCGAGTAGATTCTCCAGATTGCAGGGCCAAATCAATATTGTGGACCGAGAGGTGGCTGATGAAGTTAGCAGTACAGTACAGGTGCTCTTCTACTTATAAACGAGTTATGCTCCCGAGGCTTGTTTGCAAGTCCAACTTTACTCTTGTAGATACCAAACATATTGTAAAAATTGAAAAGATTATGGACTTTTAGTACAGCTATACCCTTTAATACAGCCTTAAAACCTGGCTCACTCTTCTCTTAGGTAATGTTTGTTCTATCTGGAATTTTCTTCAAAATAATCCAGTCTCATCCACATTAAACACCTGTTCTGGCAGGTAACCCCCCCCCCCCTCAGTGATGTTTGTATCTGAAAGTATGTAAGTTGAATGTTCTTAAGTAGAGGAGCACCTGTATTGTATAATTGTATACTGTGCTAGAAAAACACTGCTAAGTTTAGGCTACATGATTAGTTAGCAGGGATATTATAACAAATTGAATTAAATAACCTTAATTGTCAGATTTTGAAATAACTGTTTGGTTTGGAGAGGGAAATGGATAATAGAATTAGTGCTTTGGAAGAGTACTTAGTAGAATATCTTGAATTTTGTATTGTTTATAGTGGATATGCATTACTTGTATCCATTCTCTAAAACAAATATGTTTTGTTGTAATTATTGTTATAGTTATCTTCCCGTTGCCCCTGGACAGGAGGTGTTCCTGTCTGGTTTTCCTTGGGAAGAAGAAAAAAGTTAACATTGTCTGACTCTTTTGCTTCTCCGAGCTGTTTGAGTTTCGTCAATGTTATACAATTTTAAGGAATAAATTTTTAAGTTCATAATAAACGGAATTTGTTAAAAAATCAGGTATTTTCAGCTGTTGATCTCTGTAATGTTTGATTTTATTTTTACTTTTTTCCAGGATCTGGAAGAAGATCACGCTTGCGTTCCCCTAAAGAAGAGCGATCCCGTTGTGTCATACAGGGAAACTGTAGGGGCAGAATCAACGGAGCTGTGTCTGTCAAAATCTCCAAACAAGCACAATCGTTTGTACATGAAGGCTGTGCCTATGCCTGATGGTTTGGCCGATGATATCGAGAATGGTAAGGTTACACCACGTGATGATCCTAAATCCAGGAAGACCTTCCTTTGTGAAAATTACCAATTTGATGCCACTGATGCTATGAAGATTTGGACATTTGGACCAGAATCGACCGGCGCAAATATTCTCGTAGATGTGACCAAGGGAGTACAATACCTCAACGAGATCAAGGATTCATGTGTAGCTGGCTTCCAGTGGGCCACCAAGGAAGGTGTGCTCTGTGACGAGAACATGCGTGCTGTCCGCTTTAACCTTCATGATGTTACTCTGCATGCTGATGCCATTCATCGTGGTGGCGGCCAGATCATTCCTACTACGCGCCGTGTACTTTATGCTTCTGTCCTCACGGCAGAGCCCCGTCTTCAAGAACCAGTGTATCTCTGCGAGATCCAGTGTCCAGAGGCTGCTGTGGGAGGCATCTACGGTGTGCTAAACAGGAGGCGTGGTGTTGTATTTGAGGAGCAACAGGTAATTGGCACACCTATGTTTGTTGTCAAGGCTCATCTTCCTGTAAACGAGTCCTTTGGATTCACTGCTGACTTGCGTTCCAATACCGGTGGTCAGGCATTCCCTCAATGTGTGTTTGATCACTGGCAAGAGATGCCTGGCAGCCCCATGGATTCTACCAGCAACAGCAAGCCATACAACATTGTTGTCGAAACAAGGAAGAGGAAGGGCTTGAAGGAAGGCCTGCCAGACCTCTCCAACTACCTGGACAAATTGTAATCACATCATCCACATACCATTATATATACTCTTAAGGTTTTATTTACTATATAATATGTTACTGTGATTACAATAAAGCGTGAGGAAGCAACCTGTTTACACGACTAAAATTTTTTTTTTTTTACCTGTACAGTATTATATTATGGGAAGTAATATTCACTTACTGCTGCTGTACAATAAGTACTACCCGAGAAGCAAATGTCATGTAGCTGTAGTGTTTCAAGAGAAGTATTAAAAAGGAAAATAAGATGGAATGGGGTTTTGCATTGCTGATAAGGTTGAAAATGCAAGAAGAGGGTGGTGGAGGAAAAGAAACAAGACCAGATTGAAGGCATTCGTTAGGTGAGAATCTAGTTTCATAACTTGCCATACAGTAAAATCAGTTCCTTTGAAAGTGGTGTAATAGGCAAGTGTTTAAAATAACTTAGACCGAAAAGCAAATGAAGTGGTTTGCAAGAACTATTAAAATGAAAAATAGTTACTTTAGGCGTATAAAAAGGATGAGGGGATAACACGGCCGTAGTCGAGGCCCAGGGGAAGACAGATTGGGATGAATCCTCGGTCCCCTAAGAGATTCAAGATCCTTAGTATTAGTAGAAACATAAGAGGACGATATATTGATTGATAGTTTAGGATTTAATTTGGGCGTTTGGTCCCATTTTACCTTGTTATTGCTTCAGGAGCCAGTTCACGCCCAGTTCTTTACAAATGTATGTAACAGACGTGACCTACCGCCCAAACATAACGAGCCGATCAGTGAAGAGGCGGTAGTGTAGCTCTCCGCCA